GATGAAAGGAATGCAGTTGGTTTGGAGACAACGGGATTTGATGGCTCTGTTCCTGCCTGGCCAGAACAGGACAATAGGTCTCAGCTGGCCATACAATGGGTGCCAGGGGCACTGGCACAGCGTCATTGGGGGCCCAAGGAATGGGATCTGATTTGGTGATTGGGATGAGGAAACGTTCCCAATAATAAAATCAGATAAAATCTGGAAAAGCCCAGTGGCTCTTCTTAAACCTTTTATGTGTTTCCTAGGTCATTGTGAAGGAATTGGGAATTAGGGAGCCCCGGTGGCACAGTGGGTTAAAGGACTGAGCTGCTGAAGTTGCTGACCGAAAGGTTGCAGGTTCGAATCCGGGGAGCGGCATGAACTCCCGCTGTCAGCTTCAGCTTTTGCCAACCTAGCAGTTCAAAAACATGCAAATGTGAGTAGAACAATACGTACTGCTCCAGCGGGAAGGTTACAGCGCTCCATGCAGTCATGTCAGCCACATGACCTTGGAGGTGTCTATGGACAATGCCAGCTCTTTGGATTAGAAATGGAGAAGAGCACTAACCCCCAGACTTGGACACGACTGGACTTAATGTCAGGGTAAAACCTTCACCTTTTCCTTTACCTTTACCTTAGGGATTTTCTATAAACTAAATGTTGAGACATTCCCTAAGATTTGAGATATGTATGTGGTGCTGATGCGAGTTCATTGGGAAGTTGTCTAAAACTGGGGAAAAGGCTATCATGGATTGGTGCCCATGGGGCTATGGATTCCGATGTTCATTTTGAGGTCCCAACTTTCGAAAACAAGCACACTAAAATTGGAGTCACAACTTGCCTTGGCTCAGTGGGTATCCTCTAGTTGAGAGATGGGGGTCTAGGCTCACAATCGCTATAACATGTGAAGAATCCACTGAAAATCCCCACAAGAAATTCTTTTAGAAAAAAAAGCTGCACTTCAGATTGCAAATGCTCCCTTCATTCCTTCACTGGCTTGGCTGTAAAACCAGAGGCTTGTTTGCTGCAAATCACTGTGGTGAGCTAAAGCTGGATTTACAACAAATGTATGGTCATGGTTAAAACTGAGTCAACAAACTGATACTCTTGAAGCAATCATATTTGTAGTGTTTCAGTCTGGGGTTTTCATACCACCCACCCACATTGGGGTACCCTCCTGATCAGCCTTTTCCAACCTGCTGCCCTCTAGATATTTTGTATACCCTCCTATCACTCCCAGTTACCACAGCCAATAGCAAAGGATCATGAAAGCTCAAGTCCAAGATTTCAGGAGGGCATCATAGAATCATTGGAAGAGACCACATGGGTCATCTAGTCCAACCCCCTGCCATGCAGGAAAAGTACAAAGCACTCCCAATAGATGGTCTTCTAGTTTCTGTTTAAAAGCCTTCAATGAAGGAGTTTCCACTACATTCCGAGGCAGAGAGTTCCACTGTTGAATAGCTCTCATAGTCAGAAAGTTCTTCCTAATGTTGGGGAAGGCTGTTTCACTTTGATTGTAGCCTAATCCTAAACTATACTGCCTGGAAATGCTGGTAGTTGTACTCTAACATATCGGAAGGACACCCAGGTGCGGGAAGGCTGGCATAGATGGATTCTACCTTAATATATTAACTTACAAACTCCGGCTGTGGAGAGCTCAGAAAACATCTCTCAATTGTGAGCATTGTTTATGCTACATCAAATCGATCTGTGAAGGCAAATCAACTGTAAATCTTAAATGATGCATAGCAATGTGTTTCTTTAATTAGCCATAAAATTAATTGATTAGTCATCCTAGAAGTGGAACAAGGGAAAGGAAAAACACAGATAAAAATATATGTACAATCTGGCAGGCAGGGAAAGAGATATACTATGGAATGAGAGAAAACCTCCTTTTGAGAAATGTCAAATCAGTCTTCATAAATGGTCATAATTGCTAGTGACTGGGGCACTGCCAAATGATTCTGTATTTTAAATAAACAAAATACACCTGATTCAATATTCTCTTTTCCCTTGTATGATAAATAATAATAATAGTACAACTTAATTTATACCCCACCACATCTGCCCGAGCGGCTTAAAACAATGTTTGACACTGGTAAAAACCAGAAAATTTGGAATGTTTACAATGAGACGTAAGACAAATTTATTAAAGAATCTGATCAGGACACAGGCCTACAAAAAAAGATAATGAAGTGAACATGCAGAACAACGGCCATTTTTTTTGGCAGGCATGTTGTTGTTTGGCAGGAATGCAGAAAGTGTGTTGAACCTGCCGCAATGAAGTTTCTTGAGACTCTACAATTTATGATCCATGTGATCCTCCAGATGTGATAGGACGGTCAGCAGCCCTAGCGAACCATAGCTGATGTATGGGATGCTGGGAGTTACAGATTGGCATCATTTCACAGAATCATAGAGTTGGAAGAGAACTAAAGGGCCATCCAGTCCAACCCCATTCTGCCAAGAAGCAGAACAATTGCATTCAAAGCACCCCTGACAGATGGTCATCCAGCCTCTGTTTAAAAGCCTCCAAAGAAGGAGCCTCCACCATACTCCAGAGCAGAGAGTTCCACTGCCGAACAGCTCTCAGTCAGGAAGTTCATCCTCATGTTCAGGTGGAATCTCCTTTCTTATAGTTTGAAGCCATTGTTCAGCGTCCTAGTCCCCAGGGCAGCAGAAAACAAGTTTGCTGCCTTCTTCCTATGACTTCCTCTCACATCTTGATACATGGCCCTCATCATCTCTCCTCTCAGTCTGCTCTTCCGTAGGCTAAACATGCCCAGCTCTTTAAGTCACTCCTCAGAGGGCTTGTTCTCCAGACCTTGATCATTCAAGTCGCCCTCCTCTGGACACATTCCAGCTTAGAGTCAACCTCTCCCTTAAAATGCAGTGCCCAGAATTGGACAGAATGGGATTCCAGGTGTTGTCTGACCAAAGCAGAATAGAAGGGTAGCATGACTTCCCTGGATCTAGACATTAGACTCCTTTTTATGCAGGCCAAAATCCCATTGGCTTTTTTAGTTGCTGCATCACATTGTTGGCTCGTGTGTAACTTATTGTCCACGAGGACTCCAAGGTCTTTTTCACATGTACTGCTCTCGAGCCACGCATCCCCCATTCTGTATCTCTGCATTTCATTTTTTTCTGCCTAAGTAGAGTATCTTGCATTTGTCCCCATTGAACTTCCTTTTGTTAGTTTTGTCCCATGATCTCTCTAATCTGTTCAGATCGTTTTGAAGTCTGCTCCTGTCTTATGGAGTATTAGCTATCCTCCCTATTTAGTCTCATCTGCAAACTTGATTTATGCCTTCTAGCCCTTCATCTAAGTCATCAATAAAGATGTTGAACAGAACCGGGCCCAGGACAGAACGCTGCTAATGGCACTCTACTCGTCACTTCTTTCCAGGATGAAGAGGAAGCACCCTTTGGGTTTCTTCACTTAACCAATCACAGATCCAATCACAGATTCACCTGTAGTTTTGCCTAGCCCACATTGGACTAATTTCCTTGCCAGAAAGTCATGGGGGACTTCGTCAAAAGAAGGCCTTCCTGAAATACAGATATACTCCATCCATGGCATTCCCTGTATCTACCCAGCTTGTAGTTGTATCGAAAAAAATTATCAGATTAGTCTGGCATGACTTGTTTTTTATAAATCCATGTTGACTATTAGTGATGACCGCATTCCCTTCTAAGTGTTTGCAGACCACTTCCTTAATGAATCTTTCTCGGTATTGATATAAGGCTGACCGGATGGTAATTGTTTGGCTTTCTCTTTTTTCCCTTCTTGAAGATCGGGACCACATTTGCCCTCCTCCAATCTGTTGGGACTTGTCCCATTCTCCAAGAACTCTCAAAGATGATTGTCAGTGGTTCTGAAATGACTTCTGCTAGTTCCTTCAATACTCTTGGATGCAGTTTATCTGGCCCAGGATGGCTGCATGATTTTTACCTCATTTTGTGCCAGCAAAGTGCAAAACTATGCTTGAAAGCATAGACAGTAACATATTGGGCTAAATAAGGAGTAAGAATCATGCAAATTTCCAGATGTCACTGCACTACAACTCACATCACTTCTTACTACTGGCTAAGCTGGCTAGGGATACTGCAACTTGCATTCCTTCTTACTATTGTGTATGTAATTTTATTTGTTTTAAACTAATGTTTGAATTGGGAACCCCGGGTGGCACAATGGGTTAAAGCGCTGAGCTGCTGAACTTGCTGACCAAAAGGTCGCAGGTTCGAATCCAGGGAGAAGTGAGCTCCTGCTGTTAGAACCAGCTTCTGCCATCCTGGCACTTCAACATGCAAATGTGAGTAAATCGATAGGTACTGCTCCATTGGGAAGGTAACAGCGCGCAATGCAGGCCACATGACTTTGGAGGTGTCTATGGACAACACCGGCTCTTCAGCTTAGAAATGGAAATGAGTACCATCCTCGAGTTGGACATGACTGGACTTAATGTCAGGGGAAAACCTTTACCTTTATTTAATGTTTGAATTGTTTTGATTTTTTTTATTTTAAAAACTTTTAGAGTGTTCTAGCTACAACTTATATTGGACGCTACTGGTGCCATATTGGCAGGACAGAAATAAATCTTTCCATAGGGAGATCAGGTTCAAGTCCTATTGAACCATTAAACTTAACTGAGCTTGATATTGATCAAACTCACAGAAATTTTTTGAAGGTAAAGGAAAGAGACGAACCAAGCATGCTTTGCGTTCACTGGCAAAAAGATGGGCTATAAGTTCAACATATGGTTAGCCACCCTAAGCAGCAAGCTACTGGAAGAGATTAACCTTTTGCTTTGAACCAGCAGACTTTGCTTTTGTCCTTGCAACCAACCTTAAAAACGGAGCTTGGGAACTCCTAGAATACCCAAGCCATCGTTGCCATGCTACTTGGCTAAGCTGGAAGCTATGGTGCATAAAACAAACACTTCTAAGCTCTGCGTAGATGGCACTCTGCACAGAGTTCAAATGCAGGAGGAGAAAAGCAGACAACAATAGAATATAAGTAGCCTATTTTTATTTCAACTCGGAACACAGGCTCATAGCGCAAGGGTTTTGTAAACAGTTTTGTTTAAATGAATTGAAGTAAAGCAAAGACACACACACACCCCACAATGCTTAAACATTAAACACAAAAGAAAACTTTTAAAAAACCAATTTGTTATGAAACTGAGTTATTTCCTTTGTCTCCCATGGACTCCATTATTTCTGTGCAAAATATTGCTTTACATATTGCTCTGTTGTCTTCGGCATCAAAGTTAACAGAGGAAACACAATTAAAAATTAGGTCCTGTGGGAAATAAAAGAACTTTCTTCCTCACCAGGTACGTGTCGTCAGAAATAAGTAGGAATCGAGTTATTAAAGTTGGGAAAGACCTGGAGGACTTGCACATAATTGTACCTTTCTAAAAACAACAAACATCAGGATAGTTCTATCCACAGAGATGTTTCTGACTCTGCAAGAAAGCTATTTTTAATATCAGATTTTTAACAGGGAATCACACAGAAGATGGATGGGAAACGTACGGCCTTCCAGATGTTAGTGGACAGCAATTTTCACTTTTTTCTACCATAGCTATTTGTGGCTGAGGGAAGTTATAGTATAACATCTCAACAGCCACTCTCAAATTTGAATGATACTTAATTTTTGGATGTTATACCACAGTGGTTCTCAACCTGTGGGTCCCCAGATGTTTTGGCCTTCAACTCCAAGAAATCCTAACAGCTGGTAAACTGGGTTGTTGTACGTTTTTCGGGCTGTATGGCCTGATAGTTTTGAGGTGTGGCTTGTTCCTGCCTGGGGGAATCCTTTGTTGAGAGGTGATTAGCTGTTCCTGATTGTTTCTTGTCTGGAGTTCCCCTGTGTTTGAGTTTTGTTCTTTATTTATTGTTATTAATTTGGAATTTTTTAATACTGGTAGCCAGATTTTGTTCATTTTCATGGTTTCTTCCTTTCTGTTAAAATTGTCAACAATACAACTGGTAAACCGGCTGGGATTTCTGGGAGTGGTAGGCCAAAACACCCGGGGACCCACAGGTTGAGAACCACTGTAATATATCAGCTCATGTCTTCATTCATGCTGGGTTCATTCCCACAACTTAATGACACCTATTTCTCCGCCCAAAAATTACTGAGCCCCTTAGGATATCCATCCATTCATCCATCCTTGCTACCATGTTGGTTTCAGTCCCCGACTTTACTACTCCTGCTGTGGTTCTCAACCTGCTCAGTCAGAAAAGGAATCAATAATTTCAAAGCAACGTATTGACTTATTAACAGCACACAATTATTGCCCCAATGATTTGAAGTTTCTAAATTCCTACTTTAAAAAAAAAGATAATTCAATGTAACACACACTCACACACACAAGCTCTGAAACCAGCTCAGTTTTACATCCCAACATTATTTTGTATACAAAAGAAAGGGAAAAAAAGAGCACACCACGTAGCAGCTGAAAGACCACCAGTCTGCAATCATGAGGGCTGTTGCTTCGTCTTCTGAAAAACGCAGATGTCTAAAGTTCCATCCCTTTTTGTTCAGTGCAGGGGGAAAAACACTCCTCCCACAACTCGTTCTCATACAGCCAACAGAATTAATTCTCCAACTGGTTGGTTTGAACGGGAGATATTTCTCAAAGAGTCTATTTAGCTGATCCACTTTTTTTTTGAAAATGAGAAGTTTTAATTGTAGGGGAGAAAAAAAGGAACGTGAAAGGCAATCTGTGTTTTCATCCGCTTCCTTCAAAGTCCTTCAAAAGAGAACAGAAATGCTTCCAAAGCAGCAGTCATCTGTGAGCTCCATTTGCAAAGGCTATCCGTTTCTGGCACTAACAAATGGGAGAAAACGGCTTGGAATACGTGTGATGGACTGGCTGTTGATGCCAACAGGTAATGCACTGGAGAAATAGGTTTTGTGCTGCACCTCAGGGCACGAGGCAAGACAAAGAAAATTATCTTGCTAAACATAAGGCACTTACCCACCTTTACAAGGAAATGCAGGGAGGGGGGTGGTATGAGGCAAGAAGTCAACATTAACATGCAAGTTTAGAGATAATGTCCCACTGTGGTAACATTTAAGACCCTTGCCAACCCCTCTTCTGTTACACATCTTGTCAGGTCCGCACCCCAGCGGTGGCTCCATTAGTCCGGGATCTTTGACGGTCATACTTGACAGATACAATAAGGAAAAGCAGAAGGGTTCCTCCTTGGATAGCTGCCAGCAGGAAGAAGTAGTAGTTTAGATGGCAGCCATTAATGTTACCTGAGAAGAATAAAGGGACACATGAAACACATGCCAGAAGAATACAAATCACACCAACTATTTTAGTTGCATAACATGTTGCCCTCCACATGGTGTTACACTTATCATAGAATCATAGAGTTGGAAGAGAACTCATGGGCCATCCAGTCCAATCCCCTGCCAAGAAGCAGGAAAATTGCATTCAAAGCACCCCCAACAGATGGCCATCCAGTCTCTGTTTAAAAGCCTCCAAAGGAGCCTCCACGTCACTCCAGGGCAGAGAGTTCCATTGCTGAACAGCTTTCACAGTTAGGAAGTTCTTCCTAATGCTCAGGTGGAATCTCCTGTCCTGTAGTTTGAAGCCATTATTCCGCATTCTAGTCTCCAGGGCAGCAGAAAACACGCTTGCTCCCTCCTTCCCAGGCATGTAGCCGGGGGGGGGGGGGGGGAAGGGGGCTTGAGGGCTTCAGCCTCCCCCCCCCCCGAAATTCTCATGGTGGTTCGCAAAAAGGCCTTACTGGTGCATTATTTAAACTGTTATGTTTATTCATATCATGATCTGATCACCATACTCAATATATCCCATATGCATGGGGGTATTGGGGTAACGATACAAAAGGTTTGCTAGGGTAGACCCTCTTTCACTCAGACTCAGCCCCCCCCCCCCAAAACAAACTCAGCCCCCCTCCCCCGAATCGAAATCCTGGCTATGGGCCTGCTCCTTCCTATGACTTCCCCTCTCATCTTGATCCATGGCCTTCATCATGTCTCTCCTCAGCCTTGTCTTCTACAGGCTAAGCATGCCCAGCTCTTTAAGCCATTTCTCACAGGGCTTGTTCTCCAGATCCTTGATCATTTGAGTCACCCTTCTCTGGACACAGTGTGATTCCAGGTGTGGTCTGACCAAGGCAGAATAGAGGGGTAGCATGACTTTCCTGAATCTAGACAGTAGACTCCTATTTATGCAGGCCAAAATCCCATTGGCCTTTTTAGCTGCTGCATCACATTGCTGGCTCATGTTCACCTTCCTGCCCATGAGACTCCAAGGTCTTTTTCACACATCCTGTTGTTGAGCCCCATTCTGTATCTTTGCATTTCATTTCTTCTGCCAAAGTGAAGTATCTTGCATTTGTCACTGTTGAACTTCCTTTTGTTAGTTTTGGCCAATCATCTTTCTAATCTGTCAAAATCGTTTTGAATTCTGCTCCTGTCTTCTAGAGTATTGGGTATCCCTCCCAATTTGGTGTCATCTGCAAACTTAATAATCATGCCTTCTAACCTTTCATCTAAGTCATTAATAAAGACATTGAACAGAACCAGGCCCAGGACAGAATCCTGCTTATGGCACTCCACTCATCACTTCTTTCCAGGATGAGGAGGAAGCATTGGTGAGCACCCTCTGGTTTGTTCGCTTAACCAATAACAGATCCAGCTAACCATAGTTTTGCCTAGCCCACATTTGACTAATGTGTTTGCCAGAAGACCATGGGAGCCCAAAAAACCTACAACAACCCAGATGATTCTGGCCATGAATTGTTCCTTTGCTCCTTGAAGCCTATCCATTTTACTCCCGGCTCTCCTCTTTCCATTGTATTCTGGGAAATGACCTCTGCTTGTTTCTCCAGGCATTCAGGTTGCCCAAATCTCCAGTCCCACAAGTGGGTTCCAGGACCAGTCCGATGTTTGGCACACTCCTTCAGCCTTTCTCTGAAATGACTGACTTGTGCGGGACCCACTGTGCCGCCGCTTAATTGAGAAGGAACATATTTCATTGACTGCTACTCTTTGTTTTTAAAAAATCTGCTCATAATACTGCTTCATGTCCAAAGGGAATGGGGTGTTGCGGGCAGAGGCAGAAACTCTCTGATCTCAGCATCCTCACTTGTCTCTGTGTGTCAAGGTGAAATTACTTCAAATTACTGAAACCGAGGATTCAATTAAATGTATTTATAATCAAAAGCACTAAGAGCACTAAGAGGAATTCGGCTGACATTTAAAATACAATATATTTCATCTGAAGAGCACGAGTGTTTGAAAAGTGGTAATTTTCCTTTTACAGATCAAGATGTGAACTCCATAAAACCTCGGCAAAATAACTTCATTGTTTCAGAGGAGCGACTCGCACTTGAGGACTTATGGATAAATGAAGCAGGCAAAAGATTTGAGCCAAGACATTTAACAGAGCGCTGTATTGTGCAGGTGGGGCAGAGGGAGATAGGCAGAGGAAAGAAAACCAATTAGCCTCAGAAAGTAATTGCACATGGGTCATCTACTTCTGGTCACTGGCCCTGCATGAGGGTTTTTCTTGATGAGTCAAACCAATTTCATTCATAGTAGCTGCAGAATGGTAGACTTCTGGAAATGTTCCATCAGTATCGCCTTTGAAAATCCTGCAATTCTCTTAGGAAGAAGACACGTGGACAAATGTCACCCTTCTGGAAGAAGCAAAGACCACCAGAATTGAAGCAACGATCCTCCAAGCGAGAGGAAGAAGTGCATCAAGTAAACATTTGTGATCACCTTCCAGTGAAAACCTATGTTCTCATTGTATTGTCGAAGGCTTTCATGGCCAGAATCACTGGGTTGTTGTAGGTTTTTCGGGCTATATGGCCATGTTCTAGAAGCATTCTCTCCTGACATTTCACCTGCATCTGTGGCAACCATCCTCAGATTTTGTGAGGTTTGTTGGAAACTAGAAAAATTGGGTTTATATATCTGTGGATGGTCCAGGGTGGGAGAAAGAACTCTTGTCTGTTGGAGTTAGGTCTGGATGTTTCAATTGGCCACCTTGATTAACATTTGATGGCCTGACAGTTTTTAGGTGTGGCTTGTTACTGCCTGGGAAATTCCTTTGTTGAGAGGTGATTAGGTGTTCATGATTATTTCTTGTCTGGAATTCCCCTGTGTTTGGGTTTTGTTTTTTATTTACTGTTAGAATTTTTAGAGTTTTTTAGTACTTGTAGCTAGATTTTGTTCATTTCCATGGTTGCTTCCTTTCTGTTGAAATTTTCCACAAAACTCAAACACAGGGGAACTCCGAACAATCAGGAACATCTAATCACCTCTCAACAAAGGAATTTCCCAGGCATTGTGACAGACCTTGTGAATCCAGAATAGGTCTGTACAGTTACTTACGGAACTACCACCAAAACTTTACTCTTGGAAGACAAGCATATTCGGCCATGAAGGATCACCTATGATGATCCTTCGTGACCAAACAGTTTTTTTTATTTAGTTTTTATAGCTTTTATGGTTTTATATGTATTTTATGATGTATTTTATGATGTATTTTATTCCTTTTAACTGATATATGTATGTATATGGGGCATCTAACTGTTGCCATTCTGTATGCCGCCCTGAGTCACCTTCAGGTTGAAAAGGACGAGATAAAAGTGACGTAAATAAATAAATAAATATTAGAATAAGAGAATCCTACTATATAGATAATGATGCACCTAGCTCTGCATTCTGTCTCCCGCAGCTGCCACTGTCTGCCTCCCAACCAAATACTGACATTCAGTAGACAAACTGTCTCTGAACATGGAGATTTCACTGTTAATAAATGCTGATCATTCTATCTCTTATCACCGGTTGACGACATTGCTAGACCAAGATTGCAGGGCAGATGGGGAACCTCACGGGCCACATTTGGCCCCATATTTTGGGTGTTCCCATCCCTGCCCTAATTCAGTACTCTGGATCACTATTTGCCTATACTCAGCTCAGACTCCTTAAATCAAGAAATATTTATTAATTATTATTTATTTATGACATTTCTACCCCGCCTTTCTCACCCCAGAGGGGACTCAAGGTGGCTTTACATACAGCCAACAATTTGATGCCCTAAAACACAATGTACACTTAAATACATATTAAAATAGAATTAAAAAGCGCATCAAAACAATTAAAACATCTAAATTAAAACAATTAAAATAGCTTCCTAAGATTTACAGAGATATTTGCAAGAAACACCTCAGCAAGTGAGAGTCCAAAAGTGGCAGGCAAAATCTCAGAAGCTCAATCAGTGGCTGAGACCAGATGAGAGATTCCCCCCAGGCACACAGAAGACTGGGTGCCTTGGAAGGCACTGAACAGACTGCACTCTGGCACCACAAGATGCAGAACTAACCTTAAGAAATGGGGTTACAAAGTGGAGTCCACAACATGCGAGTGTGGAGAAGAGCAAACCACAGACCACTGACTACAATGCAACCTGAGCCCTGCCACATTCACAATGGAGGAACTCTTTACAGCAACAGCAGAGGCACTCCAAGTGGCCAGCTTCCGGTCAAAGGAAATTTTAGTATCATGCCAAGTGGTTTTTCTATACAATATAACTGTATACTCAATTTGCTTGACACAATAAATAAAATAAATAGCTCAGACATGATAAAGGAAAGATGAATACTCCATACTAGTGAGCCCAGTGAAGTATTTCACCACTTCTCTGCTGTTTATTAGCATCTGACAGTTGAAAAATAATCACACATTATGGAATTATTAAAGAAAAACCTTGGAATTCCCATGTAAGCCCAGTGTGGCTTTTAAATGCCTTACCTAGCAAAAGCTAAAGCTGAAAAATGCAATTTCAAAAAAGCAGAAGGCAGAGATTTTTAAAATTATGATGTGTGCTGCTACAGAGTAAGCATTCTGTTTTCTCCCTGCCCCCCCCCCCCGATCCCGCCACCCAAACAAGCTGAGGATGGGAGAAGCTGCCTTACCCAAATCTGAGTGATTACTCATCCAACCAATCGATTTAATAGAGACCAGTGCCAGAAGTCCTGAGCCAACAAAAGATCCAATTCCGGAAAAAAAGAAAAAGAGACCCATGATGGCACTCTGCATAGTTTTAGGAGCAGCTGAATAGGCAAATTCCAGACCTGGAACAATAGAATAAGAAAGGAGTTATTGAGATATTGAAACATCTATTTTTTAAGCAGCAGAATTGAGGCCACGGAGACCTGAATTCCAAATGCTCGAAATAAACATATTCGACGCACCTAACTCACATGAAGTCCAGAGTTCTCACTTTGTTTGGTCCTGGCTGAAGAGTTGCTCACAATAGGATCATGCACGTTATTATTTCATATCAAAAGCATTGCATAAATTAATATAAAACAGATAAAAATCGAAGGAGCACAAGTGGCTAAATATCTTTTGACCAAAAATGGGCAACAGCAATGGCATTGTTTGCAGCCTCCAACAATTCTTTCTCTGTACATGAGGCAGGGCATAGTGGACAAGCATACAGATGCTCAGGCACCAAAAAGCACAGAAACTAAGGTCGTGTTTTTGGCTTTAGCTCCTCTAGAAGTCTGAGATGGGCAACACATTGAACAACACATGAACACAGGCAATTTTCCTGCTTCTTGGCAGGGGGTTGGACTGGATGGCCCACAAGGTCTCTTCTTTTTATTTTATTTTTTAATATTTATTGTTTTACCCACTCCCACCCTCTGCCTCTCTCCCTGGACACACCGTTTTGTACAATAAACTACACAAATCACACTTGAAATATAGGTCTTAATCTCAATTTTTCCACTCCACTTCTTAATACATTCTCTAAATAATTCCTAACTGGATCACACATGCTCTTAATTACTATAACGTTTTCCATTTTGTCTATATTGTTCAATTTACAATTTCCATATTTGACATATAAATTATATAATTATACCAATTTGTCAGAGTCCACTTTGTTTTATCTTTCCAACCTCTGAAACAATTTGCACACACACTATTAATTTGTCAACCACTCATTCCTTTTGCGCATTATACACTCCTGGTATGCTTGCATGGAAGACATTTCTATTATCTATTATTATTTGAATATTCAGTATTCTGTTCATTTCTCCTTCAATCGTTCTCCAGCATGCTTCTACTCTGTCACATTCCCATACCATGTGATTAAACGCACCTCTTTGTTTACAGTTATGCTACTACCTGTTCTTTACCCCTGGTAAAAACATGTAAGTTGTGCAGGAGTCCAATATTATTTTTGTAGCATTTTCCTTCTTACTTTCCTTAGTACATTATATTTTTTCTTTACTATATTACGTATTTCCCATTGATGCCTTTCCTCTCAATTTCCATATCTATTCTACGTGTTTGAAATATTTCCTCTATTACAGTGTTTCTCAACCTGGGGGTCAGGACCCTGGGGGGGGGGGTCGTGAGCGGGTTTCAGAGGGGTCGCCAAAAACCATCAGAAAACACAGTATTTTCTGTTGGTTATGGGGGTAGTGTGTGGGAAGTTTGGCCCAGTTCTATCATTGGTTGGGCTCAGAATGCTTTTTTATTGTAGGTAAACTATAAATCCCACAAACTACAACTCCCAAATGTCAAGGAGTATTTCCCCCAAACTCTGCCAGTGTTCACATTTGTGCATATTGATTATTTGTGCCAATTTTGGTCCAGATCCGTCATTGTTAGACTCCACAGTGCTCTCCGGATGTAGGTGAACTACAACTCCAAAACTCAAGGCCAAACCCTTCCAATATTTTCTGTTGGTCATGGCAGTTCTGTGTGCCAAGTTTGGTTCAAGTCCATCATTGGTGGAGTTCAGAATACTCTTTGATTGTAGGGTAACTACAAATCCCAGCAACTACAACTCCCAAATGACAAAATCAATCTCTCCCCCAACCCCACCAGTATTCAAATTTGGACACATCGGGTATTTGTGCCAAATTTGGTCCAGTAAATGAAAATATATCCTGCATATCAGATATTTACGTTATGATTCATAACAGTAGCAAAATAACAGTTTTGAAGTAGCAACGAAAATAATTTTATGGTTGAGGGTCACCACAACATGAGGAACTGTATTAAGGGTTTGGTGGCATTGCACTGACAGAACACTGTGAACTGAAACAATGATAGATCTGGGCCAAACTTGACACAAATACTCAATATGCCCGAATGTGAACACTTGTGGAGTTTGGGGACAACAGACCTTGACATTTGAGAGTTGTAGTTTCTGGGTTCACCTACAATCAATGAGCATTCTGAACCCCACCAATGATAGAATTGGGCCAAACTTCCCACACAGAATCCCCATGGCTTGAAAGGACTCGCTAGTGTGAACCTCCCTCCAGCCTCACATGCTCTTCTTCGCCTTAACATATGCACAACGCTGCCATGCGCCGAGCACGCCTGCTCTCCCCTCCCCACTTGGGAGTCTCAGAAAAGCCCTCCCCTTGGCTGAGAGGCTGGCCAATCACAGTGGGGGAGGGCTTTTGGTGGGGGGATTCGTCATCTGTTTCCAAAAAGGAAGAGGACAGGCGAAGAGATCTTCAGCCTTCTCTGACAAAGGGGTTCCTAAGACCATGTATATTTTCTGATGGTCTTTGGCGACCGCTCTGAAACTCCCTCGTGAACACCTCCCCCAACGCCCAGGTTGAGAAGCATGGTCACTCCCACCTAAGGAACCTGCCACTTCCACCCTATTTACCAGGTCATTACTGTTGATCTTATATTGCTGATCCCCTTGTTCCCTCTTCCATCTTGTGGACCACTCCTTGGGTGAGCATCAACTATGTCTCATAGTCCTGAACATAGTGATTTTAATTTCAATATACAGAAGGCAGAACTCTTGCATCATTGGCAAATGCTAAAGCCTGTCTTTCCCGTAGCTGTTCCCATGTGCTTCTATCAAGTTTTTAAACAAACAAAACAAAATGGCAAAATATGAATTCTAAAAACATGAATTATTAACCAAGGTGAAATAAGAAAGTGCAAAAGCTGGGTTGAGGTTAAACATCAAAAGAACCAACATTATATCAACCAGACTGACTGATAACTGGCAAATAGAGGGAGAAAACATGGAGGCAGTGACAGGCTTTGTATTTCTAGGTGCAAAGATTACTGCAGACGCAGGCTGCAGCCAGGAAATCAGAAGACATTTACTTCTTGGGAGGAGAGCAATGACCAATCTCGATAAAATAGTGAAAAGTAGAGACATCACAATGGCAACAAAGATCTGCATAGTAAAACAATGGTATTCCCCATCGCAGCCTATGGATGTGAGAGCTATACCATGAGGAAGGCTGCGCAAAGGAAGATACACACTTTTGAACTGTGGTGTTGGAGGAAAATACTGAGAGTGCCTTGGACCGTGAGAAGATCCAACCAGTCCATACTTCAGGAAATAAAGCCTGACTGCTCACTGGAGTGGAGGATATTAGAGGCAAAGATGAAGTACTTTGGCCACATCATGAGAAGACAGGAAAGCTTGGAGAAGAGGACGATGCTGGGGAAAATGGAAAGAAAAAGAAAGAGGGGCCGACCAAGGACAAGATGGATGGATGGTATCCTTGAAGTTACTGGCTTGACTTTAAAGGAGTTGGGGGTGGTGACAGCTGACAGGGAGCTCTGGCATGGGCTGGTCCATGAGGTCATGAAGAGTAGGAAGTGACTGAATGAATAAACAACAAAGTTTGAGACATACCTCTCTCTCCCAGTCTTGGAATATTGTTAGATTACAATTCCTGTCATTTCCTTGGCTAGGGCTAGTGGGAGTTGCAATCATCCGATATCCGATTGCTGCATGATCCTCCACCCCTGCTCTGCAACACTACATGAAGTGACCTAGATGCACGAGACTCTGGCGGTGATTGTTCAATCAAATACACTGGCTAATGCAGCACCTACCCGTGCATTTTAAAAGCGGATTTAATATCACCTGATCAAAGCTGTTTTATAGGTAAGGTAGGGTTGCTGCTGCATATAAAATCTAAAGCTCCTCATGCAAAGAAAGGAGAAAAGGAGTCCTGCTTCTTCAAAGCAAACCATATCGTAATTGCTACATTTAAACTTATTATGCAAATTAAAGGACTTCACACCACAGCTCTGCATGCCCATTCAAGTGCTCGAGCCTCAAAAAACACTCGCTTGGAATCTCGGACGCCTAGCTATTAATTCAGATAACGATCAGAAGACTGAAACAAGCACTTTGTAGAGCAAACTGAATGAGAGGGGACGATGTCGAAAAGCAATTAAGATTGGCAGGGAATCCTCAATTCAAACAAAGATATTTGTACTTCTCCCTAAAGCAGGTGTTTTTTTTAAGTTATCCATACAAGAATAACTGCTGGTTACAGGTAGTTCCTAAGGACAATCCAAAGAGACTAGAGAGCTCTAAACAGGAGCATGATATGCTATAGGTTAAGCCTGCACAACCTGCGGCCTTCCAGCTGTTTTGGCCAATGGCCAGGAATACTGGGAGTTGGAGGCCAAAACAACTGGAGGGCTGCAGGTGGTACAGGCCTGCTCTAGGAGGATGGAATCCAAGTTCTTTAACTGTTGTGTGTGTGCCTTCAAGCTGCCTATTGTCTTATGATGATCCAATGAATTTCATGGCGTTTTCCGAGTTGCCTATCGGTGGGAGTTCAACTTCCATTATACCAGACAGTAAAGTCAAACAAGAAGTAATGGTGGGAGTTGTAGTCCAACATCATCTGGAAAGATATAGATTACCCACTCTTGCTCTGTTGGATCAAAAGGTCTACCAGATGTGAGTCAGGTAAAAAACAGAGCTTCAGCGGCCTACTGCATTGCACAATCCATATATAGTGGGATACAAATCTCCATCCAGAGTGTGCATACACTGCACAAGGATAGCTGGAATTGTGACATTTGTAGTTAGAAGAACTCTAAACTACAGAGATAAAGTCTTGTACATCAGGGAAGGAGACTCAGAGGAAGACAAGGCAAGCCCACTTGGAAGACATCTTGCCAAGAAAACCCTGTGAGAGGTTCACGTTTAGGTTACCATAAGCCAGACTTGAAGGAACACAACAGCAACAGTATCACAGTTTTCTTGTCAGGCAAAACTGTGGCAAAGGTGGGATGACTTATATTTTGGTCCCTGGACTTTCCCATT